GGCTTGTTGTGTAGCTTCAAAGTCTCATGCAACTAATGTTTAGCAAAACAACAACAATCTTTTTCTAATCTTTTTTGAGCTTCATAAACATGAATGAGCTTCATAAACATTGATAATGAAAAAATTATTTATTTTATGGTAGTCAAATATCACCTTTCCGTGTTTTCTTGTTTTTTTTTTCATTGTTCTTAATTGTGCCCCGCCCTGAGCTGGCACCTTATCGTGGTGGAGGGGTTTGAGTGTCACAATGATCCTAGGAGCTATGTTGTCCAGTGCTTTAAGCCTCTGGTAGTCTCACCCAAGGCAAACAGGCCAAAGACCCCTTATGATGATTAACATAAAAAGATGTAGTGTTCCCTCGCCCAGACGCGGGCCACTGTGGCCCCACTCTGGAGCCAGGCCTTGAGGTGGGGTAGGATGGCCAACGCCTTGTGGCCAGGCTTTTACCCATAGAGCCTGGCAAGGCTCAGCCCAAAAAGGTCCGTCTTCCAATGGGCTCCCCACCCATGGAAGGGGCCAAAGGGGTGGGGTACTGTGTGGAACAGTTTGCGGCCAGATATGGGAACCTTGGCAGACCGATCTCTGGCTGTCGAAGCTTATTCTTGGGAATGTCACTTCTCTGGTGGGAAAGGAGCCTGAGTTGGTGTGTGAGGCGGAGAGATTCCGTCTTGAAATAGTTGATATCGCCTTGATGTACGGCTCCGGCTCTGGAACCAGTCTTCTTGAGAGGGGTTGGATACTCTTCTATTCTGGAATTTCCCTTGGTGAGAGGCGTCTAGCAGGAGTGGGCATACCGGTGATGCCCAGTGAGGCCAGGCAAGCCCAAAGGCATTGTGCACACTTTTTCTAAACACCTTTGTCTTATAGTTAAGATTTGGGTTTACAGGTCAAATTCACTCTGTTTTACTTTGTTGAGCAAATTTTTTCTTTCTATTCCTGAATTTGAAGTTTGGTTTATTGTCGGGCCACCTCAAAGTTTACGGTCACTGAAGTATATGTAAGCATATTAATCTTACTAGTGCACACTTTTCTTATTCATCATTATATTTTGAAAACACCTCAGTCTTAAACAAAGTTAAACATTACCTGTAAATACTCTTTGAGTCTCTTTCGAAATTTAACTCTTGGCCCAATTTTAGGGATCAGGGTATTAATGTTTCCCAACTCCTCAAGATTTAGGAAGGCCTCTTTGTCGATACCTTCTTCTGCAATAGTGAATAAAAAAAACCTTATTGATTTAATGTTATTGATTATTGATAATAGCAAAGTATTGTTTAATTTTTTGAATGAATACCACCACCACAACACAAGTGTGATACTTGACCCTGAAATCTCAGAATCAGCTCGCTGAATCCCCATTCTGTTAATTTGCCCTGGACAAAACTGCTGGTCCTTATCTGTAGTATGTGGGATGGACAAAAAAGAAATAATTAGTTTGAATATTTTTATAATTACTCATATTTGGTTGTTTTCCCACAGTCTTCCAAATTGTGAGAGCAAGTATAATTTCACATAGTGCAAACTGTTCCACAGTTAAACATCATGGAACATAATTGTAATCATTATGATATCGGTGCATATCACGCTGTTTGGTAAATGTCTTTGACTCGTGCTTCCTCATATTTATTTATTTTTTCGAGCAGTCGAGCTTTACTTATTAGAATCTGCTAAAGCTATTGAGGGACAACAGAGAAGTATTGAAACCATACAGAAAAAAGAAAATATTTAAGATAAACAATTTTGAAAAAGTTAATAATAGAAACAAAGAAAATTAGTCTTAAACTTTATATCTACTGTATATATATATGCAGTATATACATCACTCTCTCTCTCTCTTTCTCTCTCTCTCTCTCTCTCTATATATATATATATATATATATATATATATATATATATATATATATATTAAAGTGTTGACTGATAGATAAGACACATGTTTTATATATCAATTTTTACAATAGAATATACAGATGGTGAAATAAGAAATTGAAATATCTTACTTGTAAGTATTCTTTGAGTCTATTTCTAAATTTGACTTGTGGTCCAAGTTTAGGAATTAACAATTTAAGGTTGGCAGAATCTCCAAGACTGAGAAAAGTTTCTTTGTCAAATCCTTCCTCTAAAACAGAAAAAGAAATCTGAATCAGACACCACCACAAAGTTACACAACATCATTCAGCAGCTTTCGACATGCATCTCGACTGAATATTTACATATTGGAAGATACTGAGATTCTTGCAATCTTAAGGTCACCAACTACAGACTTAACCTTTTAAGCAGAGTTCTTTTTCTGTACCTTGAAACCGATGGATGAACTCCCTGAGACCCCATTCAGTTAATTTTTCTTGGATGAAATCGACTGTCTCCATGTTAGTAGCCTCTGTCGACAGACTGTAGGCTTTTAATGATAATTAGTGCATATCAATAACGGCATTATTCAGCAATGACTTAAAATCCTAACAGTGTTCATTATACTTATTCTTTTCCTGAAAAGGTGCAGATTAAAATGTCACAATAATTTAAATGTTCAACATTATCTGAGAACACAGTAACACATATAGCTGTTAATTGCCTTTATGAGACAACAGAACATTGTTGGGATCCTTTTCCCCACTAATTGCTGCGAGGAATCACACAAGCAACCTTTTTGAGAAAAGCATTTAGCGTCTCTTCAGTAGGTAGGTACGGAGACGTCAGATCTTAAAGTTATGCCCTTTCTTGAAAGTTTTGCATGTGTGTGTCTACTTCAAATCACAAAGAATCAACAGTATTATAAACAACTAACCACTACAGCAACACTGACAAAGCCACTCTTAGGAATTTCACCAATATGGCTAAATGGAAAAGCGTTACATCATTAATTGGAGTTATTACCAAAAGGTAAAGGGCAAGTAGCCTAATTTGACTGTTGAAACATCCTCTCCAAAACAATATTCAAATTACAAATGTAAACTTACCAAAATCCTGTTGGGTGAGTTGGACGTCTGTAGTCGCATTTCCTTTGTCTGTGTCTTCTTATGCCAGGAAACAGGAAAGGGAGGGTCCAAATAAAGGATTATTGCGCCAACTTGGTTTTAACCTTTTATCTGCAGCATGTTGAAGTTTAAACAGTCTATGAATGACATCAAGCTGCTCTTTATTTGTATTTACTTATTTATTTTTTGTTACTCCTTGTAAACATGTAACCCAGGTCGGTTACATTGTACTCAAATTTAAAGATCAATGTAAACTGTATTCTGCTTTCATGAGTCTGGTCAAGTTAGGTGTGTCTGTCGTTATTAACTGACATTTATGACAGAACAGAGTCATAGATGGTAAGTAAGGATAATGTAGAAACCGTTATTATTCATAAAAGAAAAAGCTTGACCAAGTCAAACTGTGATTGTTCTCATTTAAATGGAGTAAGTCATCTCATCTATATTTGCTCCGGTGATATCTTAAAGGTTTTTACGTGTACTGTATACAGTAATAAAAGAAGGGTGCAGCAAACAGAGCCAAATATAAACATATTGTCCTCTTCAATCTTGCTCTTTGCCCAAATATCAGTATAAAATGATCAGTATTAAACTCTGGACAAAAAAGTAGCACAGCATGATACAAGCTGTTAAAAATATCAATATGGTGTCTAGTTTCCTGTAAGAAAGGATTGATATATAGCTCAACCAGGTGAGTGATCATTTCGAGGAGCTCCATGTCAAGGTTAAAGTTTTATAGGAGTTCTTGTAAAAAGTTTTTACATTATAATTACCAATTCTTGGTACAAATATTTTACTGAACTATATGTGAAACAATCTTGTCTTCATTTAATTAGTTCTGTTTATGTCTAAGGTTCTTTAACGTTTGATTTAATCTGGAGTGTCAGGTTTTGAAAAATGTCTCCGGGGCATTTCTGTCCTAGTAAGGAATGCTGACATGAATTATCCACGTCCATACATGTCGTCCTAAGTTGGTGAATTCCTCATGTTTATTGTAAACAGGTGGTTCTGTCAACACATCCACTTCAAGTCTTACATTACCGCACACTTGAGTTTTCCTCTATTACCTACTGATCTTGGCTTGACTATACTCACTTTTCTGTACTTTTATTAGGGTCTGGCATCTCCCGACAGTTCAGCACATAAAGCAATTGTTTTACTTAATGTATTTCTATATATTACTAGATTACAACGTAATTACAAAGTGAAATGAGAAATGTAAGACCTACATCACATCAGATGTGAGGATATATATAATTCCGGAGAAGACGTTGAAACATTTTAGATCAAGTCAATTATTCTGAAGCCACATCTGAAAAAATGTCATTTTAATGATTGAATACCATCCCATTTTGCGAGACACATGCCACTGAATAATCACTGAAAAGGAGACAAATCTGTATTATGTTAAAAGGAAGAGCATGCTTTTGATATACTTCCAGTTTAAACAAAATATCCATAAAATATTGTGAATAGGGTATACTTAGTATAGTGTATACATCTGCAGTTTTGATAACGATCACAAACACTTTATTCATTTGTTGTTGTTGGTAGTGGTGCTTGTGGTGGTCGGGGTGCTTAACGCAATTATCAAGAAACATATCTAATAACAGTGATATTTTTCCATCTATTAATAAATTCTTGTGGAAATTTCAAGTCCTTTTGTGGGATAAAAATTTAAACCCAAGTTCATTTGAATGAACAAAGGCTTAAAACACAATAATTTAGGACCAAAAACTTGAAGAACAAGATAAACAGAATAGCATAGACAATCATAATCAACTAAAAAGCCTCTGGTTACCTAAATCTAAATCATTTGTATTTCTAAAATGAACATCAGCAATTGACAAGAAAAGTAGCTAAACTTTACAATACGACATTTAATTTCCATATCCATACAGTTAGTAATATTGTGGCAGTCTTATTCCGTCCACACTAAAACAGCCTGTCAAAGCAAGCTTTTACATTTAAAAAAAAAAAAAAAAGAAAAAAAAAAAAAAGGGTCCGCAGCGTTCTCTAATGGCTAGAGCGGGCGGACCATATGTGGAGCCTCCGCGTGGGTGCCCTGGGTTCGATTCCAGCCCATGGCCCTTTCCCGCAGGTCTCCCCCTCTCTATCTCTGCCCCCTTTCCTGTCAAGCTACTGTCATTAAAGGCCACTAGAGCCAAAAAAATTATTTAAAAAAAAAGAAAAAAAATAAGAAAAGGAAAATAAAACCTGACAAAAAAAACAGCTGAGAGCACAACATTTGATGTAAGATTTGATTATTCTTCAACATGTTCAAAACGTGTCAGGTCCTGGAGTTGTCCATGTGTCACATTCATGGAATCCAGTGCTGCTGTTGGAAAACACAAGACCAGTAGATGAAAACTTTTGTGAACGTTAAATAGACCCTGATTGATCAAAATACTGAAACTTTTACCATCTTCCATGACATGTCTTCATGTGAGCTACTTTTCAGTTCATCGTAGAGTTTCTGTACCATCTCAAGCTCTGTTGAAACATCTGTAAAACAAATGTTAGCAATTTCTATCAAATTTCTATCTAGTTTTATCGACCTAATAGCTACTGTATATTATATCAATACAGAGAGTGTAGTGGTCTTGTTTACTTAGATTTGCACCCTTACACTATAGGCTCATTGCAGTACATGAAACACTAATAACACAATGGAGAAACACTAATAAAAGTTCATCTGTTCCTATATATATATATATATATATATATATATATATATATATATGTATCTATGTATGTATGTATATATATTTAATCTCAAAAGCAAGGTTAGAAATATAGATTCACATAAGAGTGTTGTGGTCATTTAGTGATTTATTTTGCTGTGTGTCTTAAAAACTTAGATTAGAAAGATTAGAAAAACCAAATGGAGTGCCTTAGACTGGATACGCTTAAGATATCTTCATAAAACATTTTCCTAGCAGGTCACAAGCGGCTGTTTCACAAGAACAGGAGTAAGAAAAAAGACAGATCCTTATTTTGCCCTCATTGTTATAAGAAAAATCATTTAAAAAAGACTTTACCTGGGATGGAATTGTCATCAGTCCTCAGAGACAGCTCAATAGATTTCCCCATGGTTTCCTTCAGAGTGCCCTCAATGGTGTCCTGTTAATTGAGAAGTTAACATATTCATAACTTTGTACAAGTAAAAACATTTAATGAGAAAAAAAATATTCAGTAACACATAAATGTGCATTAGAATAAAATGTGACAGACCATTAACTTTTTCAGCAGGTTCAGCATCATTTCTTTAGCCTGGGAAAACATGCTGCTCTTTAAATCATGGACATGTCTCTCCACCGTCTGCCTCATGTTCTGCAATGAGTTCTTTCCTCTAAATCCTGCTGCTCCTGAGAAAAAAAGGTTTATAATGCCATTAGATACAAATTGACAAAGAATGAAGGCAGTCTGTAATCTTTATCATGTTACTTACTCTGATAGCAGTCTGTCATGGCCTCTTCGATTGCCTTCGTCAGACTGCTGTAGATTATTTTCTTTTGATCCAGGATGAATCTTTTCAGTTTTGTCTTCACTTTTTCCTCCTGAAGAAATATTTCAAGTAGAATATGGTTGAGCAATATTAATCTCAAAGTTGCAGAGTTGGTCCTGTGGCATTTTATGGGATTCAGACTATATCTTCCTAGTCTATTCAACATTACCACAAATTCTAATCTAATCAAGCTGCAAACGAGGTCTAATATAACACTATTTTTTTTTGAGAAATTGGACCGACATCGGCTAAGACTTTAATCTGGATGCTTTTTGCTAAAAAGGCAACTTTCTCATTCATGTGAAGCACTACACATCACTTTTTGAACAGGAAAGGCTTCTATCTTATTTTCACCTCTGTCTTCAGAAATATCAGCTGCAGTTCCACATCTCTGTATTTCTCCATCAGGCTCTTGGTGTCAAGAGAAAATGAGCTGATGGCCTCATAAATTGGACCATTTTTCCCATCATTTCTGAAACATATTAGGTGTATTGATAGAAATGTTCTCCAGAGAAAAAGAGGTAGCAAAGAGTTTTATCAGCATTTTTAGTTCTTACGGAAAGGTCCTCTTGAATTCCTCATCAATGCTGTCAGTCAGAAATGAAGCTAACTTCAGATTGAGGTTTATTTCTTTTCCTTTTTTGGGCTGGTACTTTCCCTGATTTAGGGCAACACATCTCAATACCCTATGAAAACCTCTGCCAGACTTTCCCTGGAATAAAAAACAAAACCAAAACCTTAAACATTCCTACGGGGTATCAAAATTGTTCTGATAATTCTAAGAAAAACATGTACCTTAGGATATAAGAAATACTTCAACTTTCCTTCACAGGAAGAGTTTGACTCGGCCACTCCTTTACTGAGGCATTTTTCAAAAGCACCACAGACCTCATCCATTGTGTCACAGAGAGATTTAATCTGATGGCTTATGTTTCCTTCAAGGTCTTCACACAAGTCTTTTTTTTTCCCAGCCTAAAAACCAAAACAAATAAAAACAGGCACACAACCTTTTCTTAAGCTCACATAAAAAAAAAAGATTTCATAACTACTTATATATAGTTTAAATTGTAATTTTGATATAGCTATTTTTATCTCCAGGAAACAGATATGCTATTTGTTAATATGGGAGTGTTTAATAAAAGTCTTTTTTTCCTATTGCTATTCTCTGTGAACAATATGACAGCTAGCTTACCGCTTCTTTACAGCTGGCCCCCTGAATCAAGGACAGAATCCCATGAGCTCCAGACACATAGTTTAATGTCACTGAGTGAGAGTCATTTAAATCTGTCAAAAAGTCCTGAAGCATGGGGATTTCTGTACAAATACAAAATGAATCCCATTTTAAATATCACACTCAATACATTTGATAACTATTTTTTAATAAAGAAAATGAGAATAGAGAATTTTGTGTTTCCACAATGTGTGTGGACAGAAGGGGACTTCACCTACCAGACTCCGTCTGATTTAGAACATTGTTCTTGCGTTTCAGAAACTCCTTTGAGCTGACTGTGAACACATTGAAGCAGTCGCCACTTATGTGTTTCTGTGGGAGAAAAGAAGTACATTTACAGATAGAATACGTATATACTGACATAATAAAAAAAAACGTACCTTAACTTCATCAAGTTTTTGGAATTTTTGGCGAACTTCTTCTTTTGCCGTCATGTTTCTCTTGAATATGTGAGCACGAATATTGTCCATTGAGCTATGAGAAAATGAGGTGGTGGTCAAGGTTTTAAGGCCTTCAAAGTTTCTTTAGTTATGTCAGTTTGATCTTACATAATGTGAAAATTTAAGTCAAGTCTTAAAATAGATAGATGAAAACAAATTTGGTCTACATACAATTCTTGATAGTCTGTTTAGGAGAATCTTTTATCCCGTTGGTATGTGTTTCTACATGTTAACTTTAAATTGAATTGAAAGACTCCAACATTGGAATTTTCTGTTTTGTGGTTGTCGTTTTTATCTATTAGTCAAAGATTATGGAGACACCTGTTTCACTGTCAAAGAACAGCACTTGTGGAAGAGACACTTAAAATAATATGATGATACAAAATACTGTATAATCGGTTTACCCAAATACTTTTCTTTATAATTGAAATACATAAAATATCGAAGCTGATTTTTCAAAAGTCACTTGAGCTTTAATGACCTGATAAAAAATTTACTTCACGTACTTGTTGTCCAGATCATCAATTTGGTCAGACTTGGTGCAGATAAAGAGGATGTGCTGACACTCGCCACCATTCCCAATGAGCCCCCTGAGACTTTTTAGGATTTCCCAGGGTTCTTTCTCTGAAGTTGCCCGATTTATATCAGCCACGATCCACACAGCAGAGCATTTTCCAACAATCTGTAAGAGAAACATTTTTGTAATAAGCAATGATTTGTAGCTGAGCTTGAAAAGATGAAAAATATTTTAATAACAGTTATATGTTACCCCTTTCCACATTTCATCTCTGCTTTTATTACAGTCTCCATTTCCAGGAAGATCCACAAGTGTGACATATTGGAGAAGATCATTCTGTGGCACCCTGAGAGTCACACACTTCACCAGCGGCCAGTACCACCTCTTCACTTCTTTACTTTCTCCCTCTCTCGTACCACTTCTTGTGTACTTGACAAATTTTGCAGACAGCTCCTGAGCCTACAATAAAAAGTCAGACCTTATATAGACTCTTTCAAACATCAACAGACTCATCATGATCATGAAATGCTGAAAAAAGTTTAATTCCTTACTCTACTACAATGTATTTTCTGTTGTGTAGAAAAGAGAGGTATTTTAATTTGACAGTAAAGTTCTTACTCAGAGCCTCTCTCTGCATTTTTACTTCCAAAAACCTAACATCAACCATGGATTTGATTGGCTGATCTCTCAAGGCAATTCACAAGATCTTTTCTACCCAAATTCAAGCTGCAGGGGCTGCATCTTGTCCAGCTGGGACTCCCCCTGCAGGATACATGATAGATGCCTGGAAAAATTGGAGGGTTTCATGTCTTTCAGTTCTATCCTTGGAAGGTGTTTAGGACCTATACATTTTTGAATTCATGAAACTGGGTTCTTGCTCACTGGAGCTGGTGGATACCTGTGTTATCGAGAAATTCGGAAGCTGATGGCAGGTTACTCTGAGCCATCAACACGCAGACTCAAACTTTGTGCAATTGACTCGCAAACACAGAATCTGTGCTCACTTGCACAGAGTCCTTTTTTTGTATCATTGCTTCATTTCCTGTAATCGGCTTGGCAGCGTGCCTTTTTTCTACCCTCCCCCCATTTCCTCTCCCGATGTTGTCTTTTAATTATGTATCTGAACATGGCTGCGCCATAAGTTTGGCTACCTCCTCAGTCTTCCACAATCCTGTATGTTTGTGTTCATCAGGTGTTCAAGTGTGTTGACATTGTTCAAGCCGAAGGGACTGCATCTCAGTCGATTAGATTCCTGTATGTACATGTTTATGTTGTGTTGTCTGTTGCGTTTGCCTGATCTTGAAAGGGTTGTACTGACATCTTGTAATACCGGGACGCTGGTTCATTGACAATAAAAGCTTCTCGTATCTTGTTAACTTACTGATTCACACGTCAAAGTTTTCATGGAACCAAGACAATGATTAATTTCTCTGAAGTATTTGGCTTCCATGAGATTTTCCAGGGATTTGTCTCTCCATTCATCTCCATAAACAGCTGACAGTTTTTCATCAAAGTCCTCATCATCTTCCTCTCTGCTTTCTTCATCTTTCCTCATCCCATCTTCATTGTCCCCATGAAACCGACCCATCGACCACAACTCATTTTTCCAATCCTTTAAAACACAACACAAGAAAAAGCATCTTTGTTTAATCGACCTGGGCAAAGCAGGATTATTATTTTTGCAGGTATATAACATTTCAAAAAGAAGAAATCAATCCAAAAGGCATTTTACCTCTTTACTTATGAACTCAATGTCTGCTTCATACTTTGAATTGCGCATGTTAGCCTCCACTTTGATCATGACTGAAGTACATGCGCTGACACTTCCAGTGGGCAAAAGGTTCTTCTCTCCAATGACAGCATTTATCAAAGAGCTCTTACCAGTTCCAGTTCTACCAAACACACCAACCAGCTCTCTTTTATCTGTTGCCAAATCTTCGATTTTAGACCTGTTAGTGTTTTAAACAGAGTTGTGGTTTTTGGCGTTTTGTGACACCATATAGAATTGACTCATGGTAACATTAAACTTGGTACTTACTTCAGGAAAGTATTTAGCTTTGTTCTGTCCATTTCGACAATTCTGATGTAAACTTCCCCCATTACTGTTTTCACTTTAGACAGTATAATTGCTTCTGTTAACATAAAATTAAACAAACATTTAGCAGGAGCTGAACTTTTAACGAGATACTTTTTTTGTGTAATAATCTCACAAAAATCCACAGATGGATTTAAGTTTAAACGGATTATGTAGGGCATGGGGGGAGGAAGACCACTCATCTGCCAAAAGGGGGCTATAGTTACGAGATAAAATTGAGGCTAGACACTGAACCCCACACTGAATGCAAAACTAGAAAATACATACACTGCAATGTGCTGTGTGTGACTGAATGGATGAAAAACATTTTATGTAGTTCTAGTTTGACTAGAAAAGTGTTATTTAAGCATAGTTTGTGTTAAAGAATGGAACAATTTGAAGTTTATCAAGGTCGTCATGCACTTTACGTGTATAAGAATGTTTTATCTTATTTTACTGACACATAATCAGTACTATGAAATATAATTAGCAGAGCTTTTTCAGTACTTCCACAAACTCATAAACTAAGTAACGCAGCAACAATGGGGCTTCACTTGCACAACAAGGTCACAACAACACATGGAAGCACAAAGGATCGATCACCAACGTGTTTGAAAGTGACCTCACTTCCAGCCGAGGCACCACCTTATAGTGAGCTTTAAATAGAAATATGAATATGAACATACCTGATGTAGAATCACGCCTCCTTTTAGTTGGTGACTGCCACTCACTCGACTCCCTTTGATTATCTGGCTTTCTTTTCTCTTAGTGGTTTATAGGGGGGAAACTTTTTGATAAGTTTGTTGACCATTCATTAAAATTGTTTTTGTTTTTTTCACAAGAAAAAACTATATAAATATAGAAAATATTCTGTATCTTACCATTAACACTTGTGGATGGGTTTTCCTAGGAAAGACAGTTAGAATTTCACTCTTTCAATTTTCAGAACTTAATCTGCACATTTGTAGTCAGTTCGAGATTCTTAAAATTACTTCATGTAAGATGTTTGAGAAACATTTGTCTCATTAAGTACATTTATAATTATAATCGCCAAAATAATGTTCAAACATTAACTGTTTTAATTTTTACCTCAGTAAAATCAGTTGCCTCTTCAAGTTGCTGTTGACCCTGTAGATAAAAAAGTAGAAGTACAGAGGAAAATATAATACAATTAAAAGTAAAGGATCATGTAAATTTAGAGCAAAGTATAAATGTAGCTTTAATTCACTTGAGAAGAATCATCATCTGTGTTTTTTGTGCCTTGATTTGTCCTTTGTTCTTCCTGAAGACAAGACAAAAGTAATTACTAACAAAATTCCCTTTCGTGAGAAAATAATTGTATCCAACATAGGCAAATGCAGCATATTCAAAGAAGTCCTTACCCCCTTTAACAGTGTGAGGTTTTTCCTGAATTTTACAATTGTTCCCCGCTGTGAAATCAAGCTCTCAATGTCTTTATCGTCAAGTAAAAGTAGACTTTCTTTGTCAATGCCATGTTCTGAAATAAAAAAAATCTTTAAAAAACTTTAGAAAATAAATTCAATCATGAAATCACAAAGCAAAATACTGCTTTCTTTTGATTTAGTCTTATCTGCAGAGCATCCTTGCTTATTCTAAAATGGCGTATTGCCAATTGACACCAACTGTCACTTTCTCAGCAGGACTGTATTTTACTTTCGTCTTATAAAAAGGTCAGATCCCTTTTGTATATCATGTATTTACCCAACAGGAATGAACAGGAACACATTACCTTCAAAAGCTGGAATTAGCTTGGCAAGATTCCACTGAGTAAGTTTCTCACGCACAAAATCATCCATGATAAGGAACAACTGAAAGATAACAAACATGACCGTTTAGTTCTGCTAAACATTACAGAAATGTTCAGACTATTTCACATCTAAATGTATGTGTGTAGCCCGGGAATATTTAGCCTCACAGGACACAATAACTGGGGTTCTTAATGTGCAATTTATTTTATTTCCAGTTGAAACAGATTACACAAAACTGTCTTATTTTCTTACTTTTATTCAGAAATCAGAACATAGGTGTACTAAACATTAGGTAACTACTGTTGAAAAGTGGCAATCTCTAAAATAACAGAGGAAATGCACCAAAAGAAAATACAATGCATAAAAGGCTTGCAAAGAAATACGGCAAAATAATACAGTCATTCAACCAAACGTTACCACCCGGCTACATGTGTAATACATTTTCATAGTATGATTTATCTTTAGAAAAGCTACATTAAATTTGAAAGACCTTACCTGTTACCAAAGAAAATGGAAACGAAGAAAAGTAAATGGCAAGTTGTGGAAGAATTCTGCAATGAGGTGCGGCGCTATAAGGAGTTATAAAAGTGTATAGCTGGAAAACGGTAACGGTTGTGTGCAATGAGGAAGTGGAGCAGCAGAAGGGTGTGGCTACACAGAGCAAACTGAAGACAATTAAGTTTGTTATTAAGTTATTAACACGTGTAGCGTAGTTGAATCTGCGTTGTGTCTTTGTGATGAGTAATAGCCGGACAACAGCTGAGCTGATAGCACTTTTAATGTACCTGCAGTCAAACAGAAAATAGCGCTTCACAACAGGCCCTTTCCTTCACAGTGCTCCACAGCGCCTTCTCCCACAGAATCCGAAGAGAAAGAGAGAGAGCCGCGTGTGTGCAACTTGTGCAAATGGGGTAGGTAGATATTACCCTGCTGTGCTTAGCTTATCAGCATTTATGAAACAATGCACTAAACTGAAAATGGTGCATATCACTTTGTGTTGGCTTAACAATCAGCCATCATTTGCTTTCCAAATTGCTATTGCTTTTAAAAGAAAGCAGACGGTCTTTAGTTCAGTCCTGATGGACTGGCAACCTAATCAAGAGGTGTGGCCCAACACTTGCAGCTAGGAGACACTCTCTGACTGTTTTTCACATTAAATCCTAAGAGAAAATGCAAAAGACTCAGGGCTAGTACAACCTTTTATTTTCCTTTAATAACCCTCCAGGCCATTTATGCTCAGTTCCCATTATTGCTAAAAAAAACGCTTCATGATTTGTTTGGCAAGTGCTTGGCATTCATTTTACAGTCTTATGATTTTAGCCAAATTTACATTTGTGGCTACATCCGTTCCTCTAATATTTTAAATTCACTATGGTCCCAGCTTCTGGTCTAATAAAAAAAGAGGATATGAAATTTCTTAATCACAGTGTTTGCTGCCTCCAGATGGTGCTCCATGTAATTACCTCCGATTATAATCAGCCCTCAGTATCACACAATGCACCATTTGATGCTCTTATTCCTTTTTATACTGTAAGAATTTGTTCTAGACAGTTACAGCATGATTGACATTTCTTAATTATATTTCAGGATCTTTCTGTTTGAGTTTAGATAACCTGCAAATATGTATGTTGCTGTTGCTTTCACTTTCCTATTTGTGCTATTCTTGCCTTACACACTGGGAGGCAGTAGTAGACTTCGTTCATGAGCAGTGCATTTCCACGTAAAAGAGTCAAGTTTTAATTGTAATTCTCCACAGACCATACAGATTTTTACAAATCATAGATATTCAAATTGATATTTACTAGAAAAATTTGTTGATGGATTAGCAAAGGGTTTCTTGTTTTCAGAAAATAAACAACAGGAGCCAACAAAGAACCGGATTTCAAGAAGAAGTTAAGTGCTTTTAACTCTTTCTGTGGTTTACAATTTTTTTTGTTTGTTGCTTGCATAGTGATGAACTAACCTTTAGATCTAAATTTAGATCACAGTTAAGGTTTTATTCACCAGGCATCACCGCTTTTTTTCCGCAGCGGGTCTGTGATGTCCTGACTATAAGGAATTCATATAATCCATGTGGAGCGTCACATATAATCTTTGCTAAAATCTTTTTTTTCAATTTTGTATTTAAATTTCAGCATTTTTCCTTCATCGCTCAGTTCTCTTGTGGTGACCACATAGAGGCCTATTTACATACATTCCTACCCTGACACCTGAATTCAGTAGGAGTGAATGTAGCTTGGTGTACCAGCATGCTGGTCACTCAGTGTGACTCTGAACACCACTGTTCCCGCTCAACTGTCTTTATTGCCCAGCCCAGCAGTCCAGACCTTTCCATGACCCTGCTTGGCGGTGACAGCTGTACCCAGTCACCATGGAACAGCACACAACCCCAGAACTGTCTGAACAACAGCTCCTTCAAGACCAGGTCCCTTATGGCAGACAGGGAGCCAGACTAGATCTGGTACAGGATCTGAGTCAGCCCAAGACACCCAGGTGTGTCATTTATCCCTGCAGCACAACAACTCTTCCATTGACCAGCTGTTTACCTCACTTTACCTCATTTCCCCTCAAATCCCTGGCCTATATTTGTAACCATGCTGAGTTGTACGGGGATTTTCCTGTGTCATGTTATTTCAAATACTGGGACAATCCAGAAAAACAGACTCGTTGTCATCTTGACCATTTTGATGTACAACTAAAGCAATAAAATCCACAATGCCACCAGAGGATAGAGACCACAGAGGTACACGTAAACAGAAAAAATAATGCACCGGTGTATAAAAAGAAGCAAACAGTAAACCTCTACAACACCTGTGTTTGCACTCTCAGTTTCAGTGCAGGGTTCAACAAAAAATCATGGAAGCTCTAAGAAACCAAACATGGCTGTCATATGTATTATTTAAGGTAATAATTTTCTCACTCATCTTTTATGTTTCAAAACATAATCAGTGCATCTGTTTTTACCTTTACCCATCGAGTACACTCCATAAAGTCAAACAAGTGTTCTGAAATGTGTGGATAAGATACTGGGCTCTTTAAGCACCCTTAACAGTGGTTCAGATCCACACACAAAAAAAAATATTGCAAACTAATGAAAAAATAATTATCAATATTGCAAGCACATTGATACTAGCTGAATGTTCCAAAACAAATTTCCAGTTTTTAGCTTAATTTCTATCTTGTTGTTATGTTGTTATTTTTGGTGAATTCAAAGGCCAAAAAGGAGACCATAAACTTTTGTGTCCTACAAATCATTACATATTGCGCAGCAAATTTGTCTTTGGACGAAAATAGGCAATGTGTGGTTCTTCTATTTGAAATGTCCCTTACATGCCTTTGTTTTGAACTAGTATCCCTTTAGTCACTCTGCGTGCATTACTGGAGGTGTATGGAGTATGTCTGTGCTCTTACTGTGGGTAAACACAGCCTCTAGCCAAGAAATTCTGTCCTGGTGGGTGATGTTGTATACGGTAAGTGGAGAAAAGACAGGTCTCTGCACAATGTAAAGCAGCTTGATTAGCTTAGTGTGTGTAAATCCAAAAGAGGTAAGTGAACTGGCACCATCTCAAAGGACCAGGGATCCCTTCAACAGAAACACATTAGAATATACCAGGATGAGAGTAAGGCATTTGTGGAATGATGCTTCCACTTACTGAGGGGATCAGTATGATTTAGGAAGGTCCATGGAAGATTATGGGGAAGTATATACTGTTAGAGCAACAACGCTTGTCACTTGGTAACCAAACACAACCTGTCACATACTCATGTGAAAGAAAAATACTTTGTCTTTCTTTCCATCTCATTCAGCCCATAAAAGGCAGGCATGGTGTGTGATGGATCTGAGCAGGGGGCTGTGGTGGCACTCTATAGGCTCCCTGCAATATCTCCACACAGCTTCATTCACAGGTGGCATGATGAGGGAAACCCTCTCTCCCACTGAGTAAAACACCACATCCTGCCGGTCTCCCCACTCCTTTTTACATATCCTCACCTCCAGACCTGGTTACGCTGTTTTATTTTCATTATATTACACAAGCTGCTCTTAACGACGAGACCAAAGTCACAGGGGACCCATATCTCTGAGAGCGGAGCTAAATTCAGTCTTATTGACCATTTTACATTTTTTTTAATGCCTTTTTCTATAAATAACTATTATAAAGTTTGGCAGTTTTCATTCTGTTTGATAGACTAGCTTAATGTATTTTTCCACTTCATTCAAAGTTATAGCATGTAAGGTTGACAAAGCCTTTTCTTGCCTGTAGTTTCTTATGCAAAAGTTAAAAGTAAGAGTCACTCTACATTTCTATATGCACTCATAAGCTCTTTAAACTCACTGAATGTAGACATGGAATGAGGTGAGTGCTCCTCTTTTGGCCGACTGTGCTCCACTGGATGGAAAAGGCAGTACTGAATACACAGGACATGCACACATCCGCACACACATTAACAAATGTTGATGGAGCCATGGCTGTTCCACACCTCTGCGGGAGTATAGGAATATTAACAATGTCCCTTTTAATCCTGAAGACTCTTCTTCCATCACCTCTTTCCTTCCTATATTAGTCTTTCTTTCCCTCTTGACCCATAATTTAACCATTCATGGTTGCCTTAACATTAAAACTAATATTTTTCTCTACATTTGTTACATTTGAAACTATTGAAATGTATATATGATAAAGAGCTATTTCATGCCACCATCCCCCTAGAATGATCAAGGGCATATATATTTGACAAAAGCAAGGACAGATGAAATTAGATTAAACCAGAAATCTTAGAACAATGATTGCAAATGGTCTGAGTAATTCCAAAGATTTGACATGTCCTCTCAGTCAAATCATTTTCAAAACCACTACTCTTGCCTCTCTTATCAAGCAGGTTGGAACTTAAAACCAGATGACAGACTTTAGATCCTGATGGTCTGTCATCTTCTGATTTTTTTTTGCACTCAGTCCGATTCTGATTATACTCAGAATGATAACAATCTGATGTATTGTTGGTCTGGCCTAGTCAAAACACCTCCTATACCTTCTGGCTCTATGACATTGAAG